ATGTTGTACATGTATATTCTTCTAGTGATATTTTGATTGATTGTATGTTACAGTTATTTTATATTTTTATTACTTTAATATTTGTTTATTAGTTTTACTTAAAGTATGTTTATTATATATTTTGAATGTTTATAATATTTCTTAACAGATGGCCGCACATTTCGCGAGGGGGCATGTAGGAGATGGCGGGGAAAGACCTCCACATGGGGGTACGCACGAGATAGCAACGGGTTGTGAATCTTGTAAGTTACATGAAATTCTTAAGTATTGGATATATTTTTAAAGTTCTAAATTTCTAAATTTCCAATTCTACGTCTCAATGTAGCAAACCCGAAGAAAGTGTGTGGCAAAGGAAGAAGTTTGAATATGTATAAAGCGTATGGGGCCAACGGTGAAAACCCTTTACCCCGTGGGAATTGATAGCGATGGGAGACCTATCGATTTGTAAGAAAGACTGGCAAAATGTTAACAATATTTATCTCAAATTTGGTGGAAAAACATGTACCACTCCATTATAGGTCTTGACAACATGACCTTATCGAATACAAAGAAGTTATCTATCTCGAGTTAGAAACGAGTACACAATACTTTTTATATGTAAAACTTTTTATACTTTAAATATTTCTTATACTAATTAAATTTGTTTTTTTATTGCATACATATTTTGATCTTAATAGCTATCAGGTACAACTTTATGGGAAGGCGTTCGAGCGGCTGTAAATACCGACGACCGAAGAGCATATAAAGAACATATACATGTCGTGAAACGTCATTTTGACGAAGTCGGCGGATAGAGGGTGTGGAAACTACAAGACAAAATCCATCGGAAGATATAGAAGTCGAAGCATGGAATGAGTTGATTGATCTTCTTTTTTGAACGACGGTTATATGAATTAGTCGGTAAAAGGTAAAGAATGTAGGATTAAACTTCCACATATAAGTGTTCATGGTAGTAGGTCATGTGTTAACAGACACCATACAGAGGTAATAAATTTTATTTGTATTATATAAATTTTTTATTAACACTTATATAAATATATTAATTGTTTTTGGCTTATTATTGGTTGAACAAGGACAAAGGACACAACATATTGCGGGTTAGAGATAGATGCGTTTTAAAGAAAGTCGGGGTTGGTTTACACTGCAAGCGAAACAAGATTAGGTAAGTAGTAAGCGAAGTTAATACGTTCTTAAATATGTGATTATTATTATTATAGTTTTTAAGGTATATTATTATTATTATTATTATTATTATTATTCTAGTGTTTAAATTTAGTTATTTGTTTTAATTAATGATTGTGTATTTTTTTTTCTCTATTTTAGGAAAAAACTCAAGTGGAGTATATGAAAATGCAAGAAGCGGTCGGGGAGGACGAACATGTAAATGAGTCTCATAGTCTTACTCGTGCCTTCGGTGAGAGACGTAGAAACATTCGCGGAGTTGGAAGGAAACCAAGAATCAACGATCATTTAATTCTAAATCAACCTCCTTCCAAATCTTACAAAGCTCAATCTCAAAATACGGATAATAGCCAAATTGTTGTAATAACACAACAAATGCAACAATAAATACAACACGCATATAATAACTCATTGACGTCCGTAATTTCTAACTTTCAACCACCACCGATGCCACAATTGCAATTTGATCCCAATATGATTCCACAAAATACCCCCGAACCAATCAACATGACCGAGGAGACGGGAGAAGATTGTAGTGATTGAACTTTTATGTTATTTTGAACAATGTTTGTTAAATACTTTTTTTTTAAATATTTTATTATTATTTTGGTATGTAGTAGACCACGATTTTGAACTATGATGGTTTGTATGCTTATTTAGTGTTTGACATATGTTATATATATATATATATATATATATATATATATATATATATATATATATTGTTTATATTTGTTTTCAAAAACAAAATTTGATATATATAATAAAATCTGTGAAAAATATAAAAAAATATGTTATACCGATGACAAGTCGTCGCTATAACTTAAAGGGAAACGACAGTTACCCACTTTTCCCGACGATTTGTCGTCGGAATAGGCACGGCTTGTGGTCTGCTTTTATACCGGCATGGTCTGTAAAAGTATATAGTGTAAAAGTATATAGTGAAACTTCTTTTTTCTATCGAAAATCACTTCGACGACCATATGCCGACGACTTGTCGTCTGCATAAGAGCGGCCTATCCCGATGACATCTATCTCGACATTTTTTTCTTCTATCCACAAGATTTATATAGACGACATGTTTACTGTATATAAGCTTTGCAGATGACATGTAGTCGTAGAAGTAGAATAAGTCATTGGCATAGGGGTCTAGTGGGGGATGGAATAATTTCTAGTTTTTAATAAAATATATGACAAGTTTAATGCATCATTTAAACAAGTATTGGATAAACAAGCACAATACTTTCATCACAATCTCCTAAACTACCAAATCACCGCCACCCGATCCAAACCAATTTCTAGAAAACTTAGCTGACGTGTAATAGTGATTATGTGGTTTGAATATGTTTCAAAATTGTAACACATATTTAACATTATGACTTTGAATGTTCTGATTCGACTTTTATCAGATTGTTGCCATTTTATTTGAATATGTTCGTATTTCATTTAAAAGTTTTTCGAATGTTCGATTAGTTGAAAATACAAATCTAAACATGTTGATAAAATTCACAAAAAAAAATTGAACAAGTTCCTATTATCTGCAGAGGACATGTCGCTATGTATTTAATAAAAACTTCTACAGAAAATGCGTGTTGTCTTCCTTTATAACAGGGCCTTCCTTGATATGCATTGTGTGTCATAAACACGCCCGTCGTAAGGTTACGACACGCAAATGTGTGTCGTCTTCCTTTATGACAGGACCTTCCTTGATATGCATTGCGTGTCATAACTGCGCGTCGTAAATGCGTGTCATAAATGCGCGTCGTAAATGGACGACGCACAAAAGCGTGTCGTCTGTCGTTATGACAGGGCCTTCCTTGACACACATTTGCGCGTCGTCTGAGCGTTTTACGACACGCATTGCGCGTCGTAAAAAGCTGTTTTTCTAGTAGTGCTAGCTGTCTTTGTAACTCTTGCATGTATATTAGGCGAGACCCTTTATGTATGTTAGGTGAGGCCCGTTGGGTGGGACCCGTTTTTATGTTGTGCAAGGCCCGTTGGGTGGGATCCGTTTGTATGTTGTGTGAGGCCCGTTGGGTGAGACCCGTTTTCATGTTGGACGAGGCCCGTTATGTATGTGGGCGAGGCCTTTTTTATGTTGGGCGAGGCCATATGTTTATGTGGTATTTTAGGGAACTCGCTAAGTTTTTTGCTTATGGTTTGTGGTTTAAAATTTTCCAGGTACTTCTAGTTTCAAAAGGAAGGGTCCGACTTGATTGCATGACTCGATGGCCTTTTCCACACTTTTACTTTTGATATACTATGATGTTTGAAAATAAATTTTACTTTGTTTGGTTTTGGATCAATTGGTTGTATGACTCGATGCTTTAAAATGAAAATTTTTATTGACATTTTTTGGACGTTACACGAAAGAACACTGTTATTTATAGTAATATTATCGGGCTTGTTATGGTTATGAGCACTAATATCCATCTGATAGATGAGAAAAGAGAAGAATAGATAGATAGGAAAAAAAAGAACAACAGTGTATGTTATGTATCAGAACCATTCATTATAGTTAAACAAGCTACCTAAGTATTATATGTTGAGGACCCAAAGGACTCCGGAAAGCACATCATCATGCATAGAAAACAAAATATACTTGGTGTTAATGATATCGTGGACGAGGAAGAGTACGATCAGTTTGACGAGCTACCACCATTTTCTATTGGCATGCCATTTTCAAATGATGGTGTCGATGACACCACTTACTTATGGTCAAATCAAGATGAAGAATTATGGATATCATAACCCACTGATAATCCTGGATAGTTTGGCTAGGCCTATCAAAGGCAGAAGTAGGGTTGCTTAAAGGCTAAGCAATAAAATATGAAAGTTATTTTGAGTGTTTTATTTGAATAAATATTATTATCCAGTTGTTTAGTTATCTGTGCATAATAGGATAGTTATTCCTAATTTATATGATATTGTTTAAAGTTGTTTAGCATGTCATTATAAACATGGTGCGCCATTGATTCTTATTTTTATGCAATTAATAAAGCTAGTCAAAGACAATTTTGTTGATTACATGTTCTCGAATTAAGGACTATCAATTCTAATCATAGAGACCGAATTTCGTATCTATCACCCACATAATAAAGTTAGTTTTTGGAGATTCCTTGTTCTCGAATTAAGACCTATCGATTCTAATCCTAGGGACCAAATCTGGTACCTCTCATCCACATACTTTGGAAAGTAAAACAAGTTAATTCAATATGAAACATGAAAGTGATTGTAAATTTGCTCATCATTTTTATTTTAGCCTTCTTTCATATTTAAAAATATAGATACATAAAAAAAATAACAAAAGTATTGAATGAAATGTAGATCCAAATAAACAATACAAATTAGAAAAAAAATCCTCCATAGTATTTGGTTGGACGAAAAAGTAAATAAATATATGGCTTTACATTTGTATCGGTGCATATTTATGCCAAAATTATTTAAAAGATAAATTGGTTTTGGCTAACTTATTTTGAGGTAAAATTTTGGAAATCCCGCCATGAAAATTCAATATCCCGCCACCGATTTTGGGGTCCAATCGATTACCAGTACGTACTCCTTACCCTTCTTCTTCTCCACTACAATAATCGACGAATTTTACCACTGCACCGTCGCCTCAAACCCTTCTCTCGTGCGTCAACCGACGACTCCACTTCATCGTGTCGACCATCACATCGGTGTGTCAAACCCTTCTCCTCTCCTATATTAACCCTATCTCATTCCTCGTCTCACTAGCTAGGTCGCCAAATCATTGTCCGTGTAGCAGTATTCGATCGTCTAGACGACTCAACATTTCTATTGGTGTTGTACTTTGTATGTTTATTAATTGGTATATGTTTTTGTTATTTCCTTTGATTATTATAGCTTTGACTGTGTTGATTATCGATGACAACAATCCACGCTTCGTTGAGCAACAACTATGGATTTGGGTATCGATATATCCCTCTCCACATCAATCTGTATAACTTTTTTAAAAAAAAATATGTTTTTGTGTGTGTGTTTGTGTTGCAGGTCAAAGATCTGGTCTTCAAATTAAATTTGTTGATACCTGCTCTTAAAGGGACTTTTTAGCTCTCCGTGTAAAGATCTGGTGAGGAAGCACACTGTATATAGTAAGTGATCTTTCGTGATGGTTTTGTGATATTTTGAAATTATATAACCAGGTTCCTGTTATATTTAATGCAAATGGTATTCAGAACTTTGTTATCTTTAGTAGACAAAAATGCCCCTCCACATTTCAATCTTTTTTCACCCATAATAAAGATTAATTAGCATGTATAATCAATATAAATGGCATATCCAGGATAAAAGATGGAAATCAATGATTGTTAGATCTGAAATTGCTGGAACTGGTTCACCTGGAGCTTCATATTCATATCAATTATCAGGTTATAGTCATCATAAATTCTTAATTTCTATGAGGAGTTTTATTTCTTTATAATTTTAATATTTTATATCTACCCAATTGTTTTATATTTTAAGTGCAAAATTGAATTTGGGCTAAAAAATCAGAGGAATATGCTTTTACAGTATTACATTGTTCATTGCTATATTTGTGTTTATGTCCATGTTAATGGCACATCCATTTGTGGTAATAAGGGATTGATACCAAAGCAAGTTTCATTATTTTGTTGCTAAAGTTTGGGCTTCTATGACTATCACTCCATTTTTTAGACTGAAATTTCAAGGTTCCAAGAATCTACCCCCACAAGATTATCTTGCTGTTTACTTGTCTAACCACCAAAATTTTTTGGACATATATACCCTTTGGACTCTAGGGAGAAACTTCAAATTCTTTAGCAAGATGTATTCTATATGTAATATGTATTCTTTTTCTTTTGTTCAGGACCACACAAGCATCGAAGATTCAGAAATAGATGTCACCGCAATCCGTGTGCAAAGGGAATATATTCGTACCTCTACGAAACCTCTTTCATTTTATCCAAGTTGGTACCATTATTGCATCAAATGGTCTTTATCTTTTCATTATTGATAAAATGTGTATATTGTAGTTGGTTTCACAAGATTTATGTTTTTTCAACTATGTGTCTCACATCGTTTCTTGTGATTTGCCCTGAAAAAGTACCATAAGTTTCTATCTGTATTATTAGTTATTTGTTTATTTGTTCATTTATACTAAAATTGCTAAACATAATCAGTATGCATTGGGTCCTCTTGGTGATTTGCCCTTCAAGTCGTGTCGTATACATTTTGGATTCTCTGATGAAGCGTGTGCAAAATCCTGTCGACACCTACTACCTGCTCAAACTTTTGTACATGTAAGAAATTTCTTAATAGGCATGAAAATTACGTTCTTTTTATAAACTTGAACACAACTCAATTGATTGTTTATTTTTAGGGCTTTTGCTAGGTATGAAAAAAACATATCAACTCCATATGTATGGATGTTCGCTGAGGTAATACTTATCCAACTCAATTCATTTGTCTTGCTTATGTTTCCTTTCTTTCACAATTTTAGTGAAACCAAGTTGGCGTATCCGAGAGTTAGCTGAGTGGGCACTATGTAATGAAATGGATGTTTGATGTTGTAATGACCAGGCAATATGGATTCCCAAATAGAGTAAGTACTTATTAAATACTTTTTTTTTTCATTTTGTCTGTATCAAAAACATGTTATGTAATATTTTATTTAGTTTGGTACCCTTGGGAATGAAAAAATTCCCTTAAAGGTAAAGGTGTGGTTACGACTGTTGCTACGTGGACTATGGAATTTCGGAATAATTATATGAATGATGTCTAAAGGTGCATATAAGGTTAGCTGTTAATCATTAAAGCATCTTACTTTTAGTTTAATGATTGTTAAATATCATATGTTTTGAAATATTAGACAAAAAATTGATTCTTTGTTGTGTTTTTTTTTCCAGTAAGAATGGAGGATGGCTGCTACACTTCTACTTCGATGCAATAACAATTTATTTTTTGAAAAAGTTTATGTAGTAAGATATGATCAAATCAAGTTGTTTTTTGTGACACACAAACACGTTTATATTAATGACTATAATGGTTGGTTATTTAGTATGTCTACATTAACATAATTTGCTAATTAGAGTATACTTTTTTGTATTGAATATGTGTTGCTAATTAATGACTATAATGGCTGGATGTGTTAAGTCTTAGCTTTGTTGGTGGTTAATTGTAACATAATGTAATTTTGGATGTAAGCCCTATTAGTTATTTTCATAAAAAAGTATTATAAAAAAATCAGCTTTCCTTAAATGACCCGGTTATTATAATGGAACCGGTGCAGATGCAATTGTTACATAACCTGGTTTTGAGAATTGGAACCGGGTCTTATCTCCTTATATGACTCGGTTTTGTATGGTAGAACCGTGTCCAAATCTCCTTGTGTGCCCATGTTTTGTATACTCCAATATCTTTATATGTCCCGATTGTTAAAAAAACCGCATCCAGTAGGAACTCGCCGACAATAGGACCCGGTTCAAAACCGGGTTATTTAATAAATATAACCGGGTTCTATAAGCATTTTTGTAGTAGTGACATCTCCTGAAGAGGTACGTTCTCCTGAAGAGGTTCAGACTTCCAGTAGGAACCGAGGTATAACGACAAAACGTACATCTTCTGGGAAAGGTACTTATAACTGGAAGACAGGAAATTAAGTAATTAACAATAAGCAAAGTATTTTTCATAAACACAATAAAACTAAACCAAATTACATACGAGATTCAGATAACAGACAATACAACGCTCAATCCCGTCTCTGCTTGCTACCCATCAACAACATACGTGACAAACGACAGCAATACCAGATTATTATTCTGTCATTTCATTATTCTGTATATATATACGCATCATCACACATATATCATACGATCTAATGATGTCCAGGAAGCTTCTCTTTGATCTTCTCCATCATCCCTTTCTTTTCATGGGTTTCACCTCCTTCCCCATAACCACCACCACCAACGCCGCCTGCTGTTGTGGTGGAAACCCTTTGATGCTCGTCGGTGCTATCTACACCGGGAAGCTTTTCCTTGATCTTCTCCATCACCCCTTTCTTCTCATGCCCTTCTTCTGATCTGTGTCGATCGTAGCCTGTCCCAGTTCCGGTGCCGGCGACCGAGTCGGCGAAAGGGGTGGCGCTAGGTTGCTTGTGACCGGCGACTCCAAGTCCCTCGTAGCCTGCCCCAGTTCCTGTGCCAATGCCGCCGCCGGCAAAAGGGGTGGCGCTAGGTTGGTTTTGATAGGATTCAGTGGCTCCACCGGTGCCATAATGACCTCCAGTTCCCCCAGTCCTATGGCCTACGTCAGTGCCTATGCCATGATGACCGGTGGTGCCATGACCACCGGTACCGCTGGTTTTGTAATCAGTTCCCAAACCTCCGGTACCCAAACCCTGATGGCCGGTGGTACCGTAGTCACTTCCTAAACCACCGGTAGCATGACCTATATTGGCACCCAGCCCCTGGTGGCCGGTGGCACCATAACCGCCGCTAGTTTTGTAATCCGTCCCTGTACCTCCGGTGGTGTGACCTAGACCTTGGTGGCCAGTTGCACCATAATCACCCATGGTTCCCTCGGTGGTGGAGTGAATTGGGTTTCCGTACTCATCAGTTTTCCGAACAGGGTTGCCATACTCATCTGTGTGGCGACCTTCTCTTCCGTATTTCTGATCTCCTCCGTATTGTGCCATTTTTTCACTCGATAATATTTAGAAGAAACTTGAAAACGTAGAATTGAACACTTGGTTTGTGATTTTCTTGTGCTTTTTCGGTGAGATTTGGGGGGCTTTATATAGAAGAAAGTGAGATGATGAAAAGATGGTATACGTGGTGAAATGAAGATGCATGGCATGTGAGAGAACCACACGTGGTAAGTGATGACTAAACCACTTTAAAAGCTGTTCAATCAAAAGATGGACACGTCTCAAATAAGTCGGCTTCATGCTTTTTAATAACTTCAGAAAACGAGGAATTAGGTCTATCCGTATATGTGCTATACCTGTAATCTGTTGTAGATAAGTCATAAGAGTCAATTTGTGAAGTCAGTGTCGGCAAGATTTTGTTCATCTGTGATTTACCATTTCACGTGGCCAAGTCTTTGTTGTTTACAACGTCAGCTTGCTTTGAATCCAAATCAATGGAAAATTCGTATCCGAATATCCTTAACGAAAATTGATAAAGCAAGTTATTTGAGTTTAATTTAAAAAAGAAGAAGAGAAAATTAAAATGTTATTGTGAGTCTTAGTTGTTTTGTTTTGTTTTTTTTTAAAAGAAACTATTTTTGTTCATTTTGTAACATTTGTGTTTTTCATATTCGGTTAAATTAATAGTGATTGTATTTTTATCTTTTATTATGGTTAATTTGCAATGAAACATAACTAGAAGTCGTAGATTTGATTACTTTATTTAAAACGAGTCTGTTTAAATTTTAGTTTTTTATTTATTTATTTTTTTAACTGGTATTCTAATTTTGAAGGTTTTTTTAGGCTGTGTTTGGCACGCCACAACTAGCTGATAAGCTAACTTATTTTTCGACATTTTTTATGTTGTCGTGTTTGGTAAGCCAAAAAATGGCTTATAAGCTAGCTTTTTGAAAAGCTACTTAGACTAGCTTTTTAGAAGTTTTTTTAAATTTTTTTCAAATACAACACTTAATTAATTATAGAAACACATACTCTTACATGTCATTTTATATAATTTTATTATTTATATATTTCAGCTAGTTTACTAAACGTTATTTTTTATCAGTTAGTTTTTCAGCTATCAGCTAGTTTTTTATTGAACAGCTAGTTTTTCAACTATCAACTAGCTTTTCAGCTAACAGCTAGTTTTTCAGCTTATACGCCGAACATAACCTTAATGTATTTATATTTCATATTTATTTTAGCAACATGTAAATTTTAAAAAACAAACATTTTTTTCTTATAGATTGCGAACATTTTTTTCTTATAGATTGCGAACGTTTTAATAGCTCTTTTTCTATCAATATGTCCCGTAGATTGCTAACGTTTTACCTCTTTAAAACACCACCTTACTAAGATGAATCTAAATACATAGCCACGTGTGATTAAGGCTCTAAACGATATTAAAAAGGAGTCAAATATGTAGTATTAAAATATCCTATTTGACCTAACTTTAAATTTTAATATTATTTTAATTTTCAAAATATTGTATTCATCTGAACTCTTTTTAAAATTTTCTTTTGAAAATTTATAAATAATTTTTATATTATAAAATGATTATAATTAAAAAAAATAGATTGAGCATATTACCCCTAAATATTAAAACCTTTTTGACATAATATGAATCGATCAAATTGCACATAATTATTCTAACCCTTTTGGAATCTCTTCCTTTTACGTTTGAAGCAAACAAAAATCGAGACCTCAAAATACGACATACACATTGATTCGTTTTTCCCTTCCTTTTACGCCACCTTAGTCGGTCTTTTGTCACCATTGACTCACGATTGGAGCTCATTGAACGAAACAAGTAAATTGATATTGATTCTCCTCTTTATACTTCATGTCGGTTATAACACTAAGAATTTTCAGAATTGAATTGAAGTTTTTTTCGTGATCATGATTCGCCTTTGAATTCAAGAATTTATATTCGATTTATTACAATATTATTCCTATGTGTATGCTTGTATGATACACCATTTCCTTTCGAATCGGGGAATTTTTTGGTGTTGTTTTCATCGATAATAGAATGTGTTCTTATTAACTTATAATCTAGTTTTTACACCTTATGGTTGAGTGCAGTTGTTTTAATTTAGGTTTGGGTTTTTCTTGGTGATTGGTTTATGGATTATTTGATTCCAATTGAGTAAAAACTTCAACTAAAAAGTTCATACGTCTTGTACTTCTCCAGAAAAAACAACACCAACGTTAACAAATTTTGTTTAACATCGAATCGACTCTTCAGCCCACAAGGACATATTATCGAACGCGGATCGTGGAATGTCAATGAGGAACATGAACAGTTAGCTATTAATGGTTTTCAACTTGTGATTACGAATTATGATTATCAGTTTTGATTACCAACTTAATAATTATATTGAACAATGATTTTCATCATGAATGTCAATCTTTATGCACTATCACACGTGATATATGATTTCTTGAATGACAACAAATAAACAGACCATCAAATGGTGTCAAATTAACAGAAGAAATCTTTAATTACAAGAAAATAACAGATGACAATATCACTATAACGCTTCGTCTTTTGTTTAATTATGTAGAAAAAAAGGCTCGATAAATAACATGGGCGGTTATATAATTAGAAATTAAACTTTAATGATAGATAAGTTAATTAAATAAATAAATAAGTTGAAAATAAATATATGGATGAATTAAATGGCGTAAACGAGGCAATATAATACTTTAAGGGAGCAAATTAATTAAAGAATAAATGAATTTAAATTAATAATAATAATAATAATAATAATAATAATAATAATAATAATAATAGTTTATAAGTCCAGGGTCTATAATGTAGTTTCCGGAAACCTCTTGTGTATTAGGAATTCAGATATAGGGGAGGAATTGCTAGCATGCCCAACTTTAGGAACCAAAGCTACCATTCAAAAAATTTGTTTTCTTTTTGTCATTCTGGTTAAACGCACAACAACACAGACACACACATCTTGTTCCTTCCCACTTTTAGACCTACAAATCGAGAATCTTTGAAAGCCATTCGATACTCATCCCTTATTACCCTTAGTCTTGACCTTGGGCTATCCATAATGGGGATGTGATGGTGAGGGGGGGGGGGGGGGTGGTTATGGATGTGAGCACTACCCTAAATGGAGTAATAGGAAATGGTTGTGGTGAGAACCACGCTTGACCACTTTCTTCTTTGTCTATCTCTCTCATCTTCTTCCCTCTCTCTATTAAATATACAAGATATTAAGCATAAAGTACAAGCATAATAAATGTGATATGGAGTGATAACCATTTCCTAAGTGTGTGCTGGGGAAGTGGTAATGACGTGACGATTAGGTGGAAACACTTTTAGAATGGTCAAGTGGTGACCACTCCTGATAGCCTTATGAAGCCAACTTTTCTCTGTTTAGCCCAAAATATTAAGAGAAAATAGTGGGGGAAGACAGAGCATCAACTAGGGTTTTGACAAAAAGTGGTTGTTGTGGATCGATTCAGGCCACCACCAAAGAAGCAAGCACTCCCTCATGTCCTAGTCACATCTTTGACCTTTCCCCGATGCTATGGAGGTTGGTGCAACCTCTTATGACCCTTAATCCACCGGTAAACTCAAATTTTGGGTATTTTTTTTGCATATACGGTTTTGTAGTCAAGTTTAATAAGTTCTAAACCTTATTACTTCTTGTTAAAGCTACTGCATAACTTCCTTGATACTTATGCTCCTGTACTGAAGCTTAAAGCAAAGAAACCCACCTCAAAATGCATATTAACCGTCATATATCGAGATTTAGTGGGATTTTTTTGGTATGTACAGTTTCATATATATGGGAATACTTAACATTTAACAAGGTAAACACATGTTTAACAAAGTAAGTGGTGGTTGTCGAGGCCAACAAATTAAATAACCCTTAATATTTTACACTAAAATAGAGTATAGTGGTAAAGGGGTCGAATCCATGAAGATTGGTTCAATTTGTTACTCAATATCAGCCTCTTTGTAAATATACTTGTAAAATGACAATAAAAGTAAAAATGGGGGGAGGGGGGGGGGGTTAGTCTTTTGAAATATTTGAAAGAAAACTAGAGTTAAACTACGATTTAAAGAGCCAATTCAACAAAAGCAAGAGTTTGATGTAAAATCAATGAGAGAAAGATGGTTGACTTAAGGTTTTCTCACTTGAACATTTGGTAAACATATCATTAGAATCCAAAGTGCAATACTTGTCTTAAATCTCTAGCTTGGCTATAGTAATCCAAGAAGCTTGAGATTACCTAGACTTTTCTTACTTATTAAAATAGTTAGAGAAGCTCATAACATATTTCCTTAGTTAAAGTCACAATTTCCATTAAGCATGTAATTATTGAAAATTAACAAGCATTAAGAACCAAAAAGTAACCAAATCCAAGAGGAGTCAAATTCTTTGACTACAATGTTGGAGAAAATGTTTTTTGTGATTGTGTGAAGTGAAAACTAACACAAGAACCACTTGTTGCTTGCTAATTTGAGGATCCATTACTTAATCAATAAATTAGCCAACTAATCACTACAAATATATTTAAACTCATGAATAAAAAAATACAAGTAGCAAGAAGATGTTTAAACATAAAACTTTCTCACAAAGATTCAAGAACAAGTTCATGGAGTTCTTCAATATTCAACCAAAATTCAAGTGATTTTACCAAAGTCAACCAAGATTAGTTTAGCCTAGCATGGTTAAACTCAAGAAAACAAAGTAAAAGTAAAAGGTACCCAACATGTAGCAAGAATCAAGAGCAAAAGCATGGTGTTTTGATGTTCTGCAAGTGCTCAAAGACCTCCCAAAACTCCAGAGAAATGACCATTTTTTGGATGTGTAGAAGTGGGGAAAAGTTGCACACAAACCTTCCTCATATAGCACCAAAGACAAATTTTGCGAAATTACCCCTGTAGGTTTGTGCACGGTTCGCGCAGCCCTGCGCGGGTGGCGCCTAATGTGGGTTCATTTGAGTTTTAGGCCTCCAAAGCTTTATCCCATTGAGCCAGA